AACTACTATAAATCAGTGCCTGCAGCTTTCCAACATTCTTCAATGTACAGTTGAAGACTAAGGGCTCTATTTTAACAATCTAGGTGCAAAGTCCAAATCCACTTTTGCTATTTTAAGAATTTGGTCTAACAGGGCTGTGCTTATTAGCTTAAGAAGTTCTGGAATGGAGTCCATTCCCTTTAAGAGTCAGTTGCATTGCTCCATGGCGCATTTGTTATTTACATGGCACACTTTGTAAGAGTAAAAACTGAACGCTTCACTAGTGAGAAAACAGTTAAACAGAGCATCTGCAGAGCGAGGATAAAGAACCAGCCTCCTCCATTCAGCCTCTTTACTTTACTTTTACTCTTTACTCCTTTACTTTAATGGAGTAAGGAAACGGTGTTGTACACACCCCACTGAAGACATCCATTAGCCCACATATTTATGTTCGTAATTTTATTTGTTAAGCAGGAATATTTGCTTTAAAACTATTTTTTAAATTCAGTTCTAATTTTCAGCAAAAGAATAAATGAACAATAATAATTAAGTGTGGTCAAACAACGGAGTAATGTCCAAACACACGTCCTGCTCTTATGCCCCATATGGTGATGCAGACATCTTCAAAAGCCCACAGGTGGACAAATCTACACTCTTTATTATCAAAACAAATATAACTATGCACATAATATATAATACTGAAACAAATTGCCAAGAATAAACCTTAATTTTTTTTTATCTGTAAAGATATTTGTGTATTGCTGTACATCCTGTGTATAAAGCGATGTGTTAGCGTTTGGACCTGCATAGGAAAATGACTAATGTGCCCTGCACTGGACTTTAGAGCAGCTTTTAGTTGGTCAGTGGTGCGGTCTATTTCAGTTCCTCAAAATAGCAACGCTCCCACAATTCACCTTAACACACCTCTATTTTGTACCGGCACACACACACACACACACACACACACACACACACACACACACACACACACACACACACACACACACACACACACACACACGAGTCCACAAAGTGGCACAAACAGATTTTTTATTTAAACAACGCGGCACAAAACCTGAAAAATTAGTTGCGTTGGTCTGAAAATAGCAACAAACCAGGCCATAATGTATGGGTGTATATGGTCTATAGTGTGTGTATGATAGGGCGCTAAATTATTCTATTTCAAATATTTCCCAAATGCTGTTTAAAAGAGTATTAATAGAAGTTTAATTCATTATTTTTAATTAATAGAATTTTTTCAGTTTTTCCTATTAGATTTTTCCTCTGGAGAAACTTTTACTTAGGCTGGAATTTTAAAAAATTCATTGTAAAAACTACTAAAGTCAATATTTTTAGCCCCCTTAAATTTTTATTTTTCTAAATCGGCAACAGAACAAACCACTAATGCCCAATGTCTTGCCCAGTTAACATAATTAACCTAGTTAAGCCTTTAAAGCTGAATACTAGTATCTTGCAAAATAACTAGTCAAATATTACATACTGTAATCATGACAAAGACAAAAGAAATCAGTTATAATAAATTAGTTAATAAAACTAGTACGTCACAAATATGTCGATCTCTCCATTATACAGCACAAATATTTAGAGAAGGGCTAATAATTCAACTGTGTTCAACAGAAGAAAGAAACTCAAACAGGTTTGGAATAAATGGAGGATGAGTAAATAATCATGACAGAATTCTTATTTTTGGGTGAACAATCATTTTAAGATTATGAAAAAAATTATTCATATTAAAACTGCCTCCATTTCCCATTCCACTGGCCTGCATCTCGCATTCTTACATGTAAAACAGTGTCCCACACAGAACTTTGCAGTTTAGCATGCAGCTTTTTATGCACAAGGCAGCCTTAACGCAGCTGAAACAATCCAGTCTTTAAAGAAAAAGTACAAAGTAAACTTTTGTCATATTGCATTATTATGTTTTGCATTATCAAAATGCAGAAACACAATCTGTATGATGAATATGGTTTGAAAATTAATAAACGACTCCTGTTTATTTTCCTTTTTTTTTAGTAGTAAAATCAAACTAACATTCCTCAAAACATATTCTGTGTTTGGCTGAAGAAATAATGTCATAAGAGAATAGAACAAATCATGTGGAGTCAGCAGATTTTTCCTTTCTGGGAAAACTATCCCTCTTAGGGCTAGGGTTAGCTGTGGTCAGGGTTAGTTAGGGTTGGGGATAATCTATAACGCCTTGATAAGAAGCATTTGTACGCCAGATTTCTCCCTCCTGACCTTCACGATGAAGAATTCAGGGGGAGTTTCTGTCCGACCCCGTCAGTTCTGTCTCTCTCTCCCTCTCTCTGTGTGCGCGATCAGAGAAACTCAACAGAAACTCTATAAGAGCTCCAGGAATGCTGAAGTGGGTAGAGGGAGAGAAAATTCTGAATTGTTAAACCAATCCTAAAATGTAGATTGTTAAGTATAAAATCAAGCTAAAAGTAAATGTATTGTTGATTTCTGTGTGTATTTTCTTCTTCACTACTACCTTGTCATTTGTTTTTTTATGTTCTGTTCAATAATAACATCACAAATGCTTTGGTAATACATGTAACATTTGCAATGCTTATAAGGCAAGTTGGAATTACAGAGAGAGTATTTGTGTTGTACTTTATTTTGTTATATTTTAATTATATATTTTTCTCTTCATGAGTATTTTTTTCTTTCTTCTTTGTGTATGCATTTATTCATTCATTTTTTTTCATTTTCTTGTCGGCTTAGTCCCTTTATTAATCTGGGGTCGCCACAGCGGAATGAGCTGCCAACTTATCCAGCAAGTTTTTACGCAGCGCATGCCTTTCCAGCCGCAACCCATCTCTGGGAAACATCCACACACACATTCACACACACCTTGGATTTTCTTTGTGTATGCATTTATCAAAATTAATTGTCTGTATTTTTTTCAGCATGTATATGTATTAATCACAATAATGAATTTATTTATTGTTTATGTAATCTGCAATGCATTAGCAATCCATGCCAATAAATCTCTTTTGAAATGAATTGAGAAAGAAAGAAAGCAACATACGACGAGGAAGAAAACAGAAGGGCAAAACAAACACCTTGAACACACATAATAGTTTTAATAACTAATTTCATGATGACAGTGCATAATATTTTACTAGTTATTTTGATAGATACTCGTATTCAGTTTAAAGTGCAATTTAAGACTTAACTAGGTTAATTAGGCAAGTCATTGGACAACAGTGGTTTGTTCTATTAGTGGTTGTTTCTGTAAAGTTCGTAGCCAATAGAAAATATATTTTTTTAAGGGGCTAATTATATCAAGACTTTCTCCAGAGAAAAAGAAAATAGCAAATACTGTAAAACATTTACTTGCTCTATTATATGTATAGTTGAAGTCAGAATTATTAGCCCCCCTGAATTATTATTAGTACTGTTTACTTTCCCCAATTTTTGTTTAACGGATAGAAGATTTTATCCAAAACATTTTTAAAAATAATAGTTTAATAACTCATCCCTAATAACTGATTTATTTTATCTTTGCCATGATGGCAATAAATAATATAAGACTATTTATTTATTTTTTGGCAGGGACAGTGTACATTAATTAGCATTTCTAAGATATTAGAAATACTAGATATTCTTCAAGACACAAGTTCAGCTTAAAATGACATTTAAAGGTTTAACTAGGTTAATTAGGTTAACTAGGCAGGTTAGGCAAGTTATTGTACAACAGTGGTTTTTAGATAATTTCAACCTTAAAATGGTTGTTAAAAAAATGTAAAACATTTTTATTCTGGCTGAAACAAAACAAATAAGACTTCCTCCTGAAGAAAAAAATATTATCAGACATACTGTGAACATTTCCTTGCTCTGTTATTTGAGAAATATTTTTAAAAAGGAAAAAAAAAAACTAAAGGGGGTGAATAATTATCACTTCAACTGTTTATTAAAAAATAGCAATGTTTGTAATGGAATAAAACTTTGATAATATTTTTTCCACCAATGTGTTTACATTTTGAACACAGTTGTTGTGTGTTCAAGTGTAACTTTAAATTTCACAAACATTCTCACTTTTATATTAATAGAAAATAAATATGTAAAACCAGTAATATAAATGGTAAAAAAATAATGTTATTTTCAAAACGGACATTTTTTCCCATGCACTTATTGAGAAAATACTTAACAGATACAATGGTTTTACCCACATGAAAATATACTTAAAGGAAAATGTTTTTTACTATACTATAGTAAAGTACTTGAATTAATCTGAAGTATTAATTGTATAGTTGCTAATGATAACACAACAACTATACTATAGTAATATAAACAAACGAATACTGTAGTTTTCAACAACCATAGGGTATGTTATGCTACAATACACACCAGTTTACTGCAGTAAAACTAAAGCATAACGTTACTTAAGTATTAAATAGTTTACAGTTCACTATAGTTAATTATATTATACTATATATAAGAGTATATATTGGTGTGTTTAATTACGTTGTAACAAAACAATACGCTTTTGAATAGCGCTATATTACAAACCACTGATTTTTTTTTTTAACAAACTGGAAGTTCTGAAGCCAGTCTGTCATAGTAATAATTCATAACTCGTCTTATTTCTGTAATTTTCTGTACGTTACTCACTCTTTTAGGCGGTCTTCTGCTAATTTGACGACTGTTTTGGCTGTTTTCTGAGGGCAGATGGTCAGACATGAGCTTTAAAGCACAAATCCCCTCAGAGAGTAAAGGATTACCACATTTACCCTCCGACATCTTCAGTTTCTTCCTTAAATAAGGTTTGACAGCTCTGAGAAGTCGCTTATATCGTGCTTCTGTCAGAAGTTTGTGTCAAACTGAAGACTGAAAAGTTTCTGTTATTTGACGGTTTAACGGCCGCGCTTTTAAACACTTTTAAAACTCTCGTGGCGCGATTAATAACACGCGCGTTCACGTGCGCCCTGCGCTTGTTTTAAACCCAAATACGGTAAACTAACCTCAAACTTATAACAAACAACACACAAACTCACCCGTTTGGCTTCGAACACCATCTTATTCCATATTTCCCGTGTTTTCTTTAAATCTGAGCGTCAGAAGAGCAGAGCTGTACATTCAGTCATCTGCAGAGGAAATGGGGCGTGACTGTAGACACTCTAAACACGCCTTTCTGATTTGTATACATACATCTGGGCCAATTAGAGCCCGCAGCGCGCTCTACGAACGCTTCTTTGCTCCGCCCATCCAATCAGAACAGATGCAGCGGGTTATTTCTCTGTGGAGGATTTCCTAATACAGTTCAAATGGTAAAGATAATACAGCAACTGCTGAAAATACAAACGTAAACAGAATGCTAAGTATATATTTATATAGCCAATACCAAATATATATATATATATATATATATATATATATATATATATATATATATATATATATATATATATATATATATATATATATATATATATATATAATTTTTTGAGTAAAAATATTTACTTTAAAAAGCCTAAAAATCGTAATATATATATATATATATATATATATATATATATATATATATATATAATATATATATATATATATATATATATATATATATATATATATACACACACATTTAATAACATAAAAACTAAATTAATTAATCATGTTACACTGTAAAAAATTATATGATTAATTATTCATGTGTTTTTAGATCATTGTAACTTATTAAACTAAGTTAATCATGTTCTAACTTGATTTGACTTGTTATGCGACTGTCACATTAACGTAACTCATAGAGTTCATTTGATTCAGCATAAAAATTCAAGGCAACCAGTTTTTTTTCATAGTAAGGATATTAATAGGAGTAAAACAATATTTAAACACACCTATAGGGAAAAATAAAGAGAGATTTTTGGGGGTTTGAGAAAAATGTATGTTTTTAGTTTTACTTGTTTTTTATTCAGAAAATGCCAGAATTGGACAGAATAAGAAATGTTTTCATATGTTGTTTCTTAACCGCTGTGCTTTTGCTTTTTTTCTTAACTTGCTTAAAAGTTAAAACACTGGTTTTGTATGAAACGGCACATTTTTATGCAAAAAAAAAACCTCTACGTCAAATAATTTTCATTTAAAGGGCAGCTATTTTACCCTTTTTTTGAGATTAGTTTTTTTTGTCTCCAGAATGTTTCTGTAGATTTTCAGATCAAACACCCATCAGATTATTGATTAGACCTTTCAGAATGTTAGATTTGCTGTTCTGAACACACTGGAGCAGTTTTTGTGGCCTGTACCTTTAATGCTGGTTCTCCCCGCCCACCGTTCCCACGTGCCTGTCAGAATGTGCCCTTAATCTCCGCCTTGGTTGCGTCAGATACACAGCACATTAACAGACATGAAGAAGCAGATCTCACGTAACGCTTGTGAGAAATACTACTGTAAGCAATGATTATTTGATACACACACACACACATACAGCGTGCGTGTTTAACTTTACACTGTTTTTGCATGGCAAATGTGACAGGATACAGGTTAATATCCACTGCTGTATGGATATCCGTTATGTTAATGTAGAAAATAAACCTGATTTAACGTCCACAAACCGGGATTGAAGCGTCTTCGTTTATAACTGTATTGATATGCGGCTATGGTGATGATGTAAAGATGGCAAAATCGCAGTAATTCATTACCATGCACTGTTATAAACACGTGTTAAACTGATTCTTGATCACATTTGATGATGATTGATGATCACAGAGCGCTCAACAGATCTTTTAATCCCGGTTGCTTTGTGCACATCCTGTCTTGTGGATACGATTATTCTTGTTACTACGGAGACTTGTTAATATGTGTCTGTCAATCAATTCAGTGGGTGGGGAAACCGCACTCCTAGGTCGCGTTGCAGTGGGCCTCAAAATGGGAGGAATTTGGATCCTATTTTAACGTCAGGAAATTAAAAAAAAGAGACTTATTGTGTTTATATCAGCCCAATGACTGTGGACACACTATACTACACGCAGCTCTGAACAAACAGCTTACAGAAGATGATTTTCATCACAGCTGCCCTTTAAAATGTAAATAATGATACAGAGAATATAAAATAAAACAAAAATTATATTTCAATCAAACACAAATCTATAGTCTTTAATTGTCTTTACACTGTGTGTGAAGTATATAAACATTTTTCTCCTCAAATGATGTTCAGCACACTGTTCTCAGAACACACACACATGTGTGAGGAGCAGATGGACCTGCTGTGTGATAGCAGAAGGAGAAGCTTCCTCTGTACAAAGATCAACATAATCACACACACACACATATACACACATACATTTGCACACAGACACGCACCCACACATAGACATATATATATATATATATATATATATATACACACATGCGCCCACACACACACACACACACATAAACATATACACACTTGCACACAGACACATGCGCACACAAACACAGACACGCGCCCACACACACATAAACATTTACACATACATAGATAAACAAATACACACGTTTACACAAACACACTCACAAGTACATATGCATACGTACACACAGACACGTGTGCGCACACACATATAAACATCTACACCCATATACATATATATGTACACACACTTGCACACACGCATACACGCGCGCACACACGCGCACACACACACACACAATCACACACACACACACACACACACACACACACAGTATAAATGCAGGCCTGGAATCAGAGATTACAGTATCAGGATCAGTATTTATAAGCAGAAACTAAAGCAGCTTACACACACACACACACACACACACACATAACAGCAGAAGAACAGCAGGTAAACTATAATTCTTCTGTTCTCAGATCAGCTAAACACGAATTTTTGCAGTCAAACATGAGCAATAAGCACAGTATCTCCATCTGTACCAGCACACGATCACTGACTGTACAGATAATTATATCATAACCGGGCCCAGTGTGTGTGTGTGTGTGTGGTTCTGACAGTAATCCTGAAGATCCTCCGTCTGCTCTGGTGTTGTTTTTAAGGGTAGATCAGCAGCGAGAGGAACTGCTCCCTCCACTTCCTGTCTCCTGGTTCCCACGTCCTGTTTCAGCGCCGGCGTGACCTCTGACCTCGGGCTCCTCTCTGAGCGGCGCATCCGCATGTTGCTACTGGACAATCTGCTGCTATTCTGAAGATGTTTACTCACACAAACATGTGGAGAAGAATAAATAAGGCCTCTGGAGATTCATTCAAATTGTGTTATTCGATTATTGCCCTTTGGCTCAGCCTCTATTTCAGAGGTCGCCACAGCGGAATGAACCGCCAACTATTCCAGCATATGTTTTACACAGCAGATGCCCTTCCAACCACAACCCAGTACTGGGAAACACCCATACACACTCATTCACACACACACACTTATACACTACGGCCAGTGTAGTTGATCAGTTCCCCTATAGCGCATGTGTTTGGACTGTGGGGGAAACCGGAGCGCCCGGAGGAAACCCACACCAACACGGGGAGAACATGCAAACTCCACACAGAAACACCAACTGACCCAGCCGAAAATGCAGTGATCAAAAAAGCGTTTTTTTTATAAAATATATGCAACAATCTCCATTTAATATCTTCATATACTTTTAAACTGTGACAGCCATTCAGCAGAGACCGGCCAGTTAAAGCATTGGGCTTGTGGTTGCTGCCCTCTACAGGACACACAGCAAAACTGCCCAAGACTTCAGCAAAAGCTCAAATCTATTTTAGAAAAACCAATAACAGTGTGTCATGCTGCTCAGTAATATGAACTGGTCATGTTTGTTATTTTAATTTATTCTAGGGCTGCTGAATGCTTGATAACTCATTTCTAACAACTGATTACTTTATCTTTGCCATGATGACAGTAGGCGTCATGGTAGTGCAGTAGGTAGCACGATCACCTCACAGCAAGAAGGTCTCTAATTTGAGTCCTGGCTGGGTCAGCTGGTGTTTCTGTGTGGAGTTTGCATGTTCTCCCTGTGTTGGTGTGGGTTTCCTCCGGGTGCTCCGGTTTCCCCCACAGTCCAAACACATGCGCTATAATGGAACTGATCAACACTGGCCATAGTGTATGAGTGTGTGTGTGTGAATGAGTGTGTATGTGTGTTTCAAAGTACTGGGTTGCAGCTGGAAGGGCATCCACTGTGTAAAACATATGCTCGAATGGTTGGTGGTTCATTCTGCTGTGGCGACCCCTGATTAATAAAGGGACTAAGCTAAAGGAAAATAAATGAATGAAAGACAGTACATAATGTTCTTCAAGATACTGGTATTCAGCTTACAGTGACATGTAAAGGCTTAACTAGGTTAATTATGTTAATTAGGGAAGTCATTAGAGAATAGTGGCTTGTTCCGTAGCCAATCAAGAAATTAACATTTTAAAAAGTTTGTGGCCAAAAAACTAATTAGACTTCTTCGTTCATTCATTCATTCATTCATTGTCCTTCAGCTTAGTCCCTTTATTAATCAGGGGTTACCTCAGCGGAATGAACCGCCAATTATTCCAGCATATGTTTTACACAGCGAATGCCCTTCCAGCCAGAATCCAGTACTGGGAAACACCCATACACACTCATTTACACTCACACACACACTCATACACTACAGCCAGTGTAGTTGATCAGTTCCCCTATAGCGCATGTGTTTGGACTGTGGGGAAACCGGAGCACCCGGAGGAAACCCACACCAACACAAGGAGAACATGCAAACTCCACACAGACACACCAGCTGACCCAGCCGGGACTTGAACCAGCAACCTTCTTGCTGTGAGGCCACAGTGCTAATATATTAAATTATTGAATAATAATAATATTAAAGTCTAATATGAACACAATAATGGAGCTGCAGACACAAGTGTAGACAGAAACACACATGAGATCTGTCCGGCGTCTGCTGCGTGTGTGTGTGTGTGTGGAGTTTCAGAGCAGATCTGCATGTGTCAGACGGTGCTCAGATTAGTCAGACACTCGAGACTAACACAGAAACACTGCTGGAGTAAGATTTTCCAGCTCACTGTTCTGTGTCTGTTCTACCAAATCTTTTTAAAGATAGATTCAATTCAATCCATCTATCATTGTCTGCCACTTATTCAGGGCAGAATTAAAACATTTA